ATTCCTCCTTCTTTACATTTCCAACATAATTTTGAAGTAACTTTAGGCAATCTAGACCGTTTCTGCAGTTACATACAGTACACTACTTAATACATCATTTTATTTAAAAAAAATATCTTAAGATTGTGACAGGGTTTAAATTCCAGACCTTTCAACTACCTATTCCTTCACTGTTCTATCTGAATATTATAACCAAAGTGTATGAAGAGATTATTTTTAAAGAGCCGAATTTTGGTTTAAGCTTTTTGTGAGGTATGCCAGAGAAAATTAATTTGATGATGGCTATATGCATTGGCCTGTACATTCATCGGCTCACTGTTTTCTCGAACAGAAGCACACCAGACTTGTCTATAAAGCACTTACTCTTTGTGCCATGTTTAGAGAATGGAACTAGGGTCATTTCCATTTAATAATCAGCAGGGAAATGTGCGGCTTGGCAGCTCTGTCTCTTTCAGCCTGATTTATCTTACAAGGCACTGATTTATAGACTTAGTAAAGATTATGTCCTATTGAATTGGGTTTGGCTATCCAATTCCTTCTTACGGGAAAAGCTGATACGTGTTACAATGTAAATGAATGCCATGTCAATCCTTATATTAACCTTGGTCAGCATCCTTATCACTCTCTGTTTTACAGCTAGAGTATTGCATGTTGAGATGGAAGATTCCTGCTTCAATTCATAGCCTCACACAGCAAAATCTCAGTACTGTAAAGCTTCTCTTGAAGAATGTTAGCTAAACTTACCCGTGTTATTACATCATATTGCAATTCCTCTTTTAATATGCACGAAACATTATCTTCCGATGTCAATGCACATGTACTGTAGGGTTTTGTTGCGGTTGTTGTTTTTTGCATGTCTAAAAGAAAACAGTAGAAAAAATGTTTACCTTTTAAAACAAAACATTTTTATCAGATTTCTAACCATTCAAAGTTAGAGGCAGCTGTTGGTATGTGCAGTTAAATCAAAACAGGGCAAGGGATGGGGAAAAGCAGTGACTATATCTAATTTAATATACAGATAGATATTTTTTTTAAAAATAAAAACTTTTCTTTCCTAGCTGCTTCCTTATTTATAAATTAAACATTTACACTCCTCCATTTTGATTCTCCTTCTTGCCCCTTGGGTGATTTGTTCAAAAGGTCCCTTGTCTGAGGTATAGCAGCAGAACAGATTCAAAAATGTCTGTTCAGAGAAGGAAGTGAAGAGTTTTGGTTCCCATTTTGCACTTCTGGAACAGTTTAAGGAAGGAAGCACCTTTACACCTTTTATTGTTCGTGATTGCTGACATCATCTCCTTCCCTGACCACTCAGTGCGTGTTTCCTGCCATTCTGTCAAGACGCTGCTGTGATACTGAGTGGGAGATGGACAGAATGTGTAAGAGAGCAGGCAGAGAAGAGACTGCAGTGTGTGGATTTGTCCACTGGAACTCAGATTCTTCTTCCCTCAGCTGTCTCTGCTTTTGCCAAATTATAAAGCGAACAGAAGTCCGCCAAAATGAAGTTCCTCATTTTAGCAAACAATCTGATTTTTTTTGTAAGTGTTTGGGTTTCCAAAAGGGGGAAAATGCTGAAGGCAGTAATTTTGAAGACTGTAACATCTACATTTTTAATGCTTTTGTTTACATATAATTCTGTCATTGTTTTGGAAGATTTCTTTAATGTAGACCTATTTTGACAGGATTTCTGGAATAATTTAATTTATAGCTAGTTTTGTGTGGTGCACATTCTTTAGGGCAGCCTAGAGCTTGTGCTGTTGTAACTTTTTTTTTTTTTTTTGAGAAAGGTATGGTAGGTTTTCAAAGGCAACTTTAAGTAGTTGATCTTGTAGACATTTTAGAAGCAGGCAGTCAATATACCTATAGCTCTTTAGCACTATTAGAGGGTAGATGGCTCATAAATTGGCTATGCTTTTAAATTTATCCCACAATATATTTATCAAGTTTCTTTACCATATAATTTAGCTGTATGATTGTGAATATTTCCTATATATAAATGATAATTTCTGTTTTTAGTTCATGCATGCATATAAATGTATTTATAGAGATATTTTTCTGCTATCCTATGGGCAGCGGGTGGGGGGTGTAATTCAGCTGAAAAAAACCTAAAATCCTACAAAGCCACTTTTGAGCAAAAAGCTATTCCTAATCTCTGTTGTTTATAACTGATAGAGCTGTTGTATCTCTGAATCATGTGTATGTTTCTAAGTGCTTGCGTATGTTCACGTATGTATGTGTGAATTAGTGAGTGTTTACAGATAGAAACAGTGAACATACTGTTAAGTTTCTTGATCCTCCACATTCCTGTATCTGAGAAGCAGCAACGTAATAAATGGGATCAATGTTTCCTTTTTAAATTGCAAAGGTTATTCTCTCCCCCCCCCACCCCATCATCACCAGCTTGTCAACAAATTGTTGCTGCAAACAGACACAGTGGTTCAAATTCATCTTTTACATTACAGCGATACAAATTCGGTGTTCTGTCAGTCTCCCTAGTAGGTTTATGTTTGCTGGTTCCAAGAGGTATTTGTGAAACTATTTTTAGAATATTTTTTTATAGTTGCTGAATACTTGACATTGGGCTGTTTCTATTTTTCTTTTTCTTTCTGAAAGCTCGATATGAAATGTGGAACTGATAGTTGTGTGGGAGGGGCTAACCATGCTGCTGTTTTACCCTGGGTCTGCTTACAAGTTCTTGCAGACAAGAGTGTCAGCATTCAGTGATTTCCCGTTCTCCCCCTATTCCTCCCTCCACTATCACCCCCCCGCCCAAGGTTTTTCTCATGCAGGCTTCAGACTCTGGATGTGTAAAGCAACTCTCATCCTGGCTGTCACTACTTCTTTAATCTGCCCACTCTGACCTTCCACCCTCAACAGAATAAGAGCTTAGGCAGGCATAGGGCTGTAAGCCAATAGTGCCTCTGGCTCCACGTGAGTGAATGAAAGGAAAGGAAATTGTCCCATATGCATTTGCTGTGGATTAGTCTATGGGTTATCTATGTGGTGGAGAAAGCCTGTTAAACTTCTTTGGGTTCATCTCGTACATGAAAATTACCTGGCTTTTTAAAATCAGAGGTAAGAATCACTATTTTGTATGGATGGGAGATGGGGAAGGGGAGAAAGGCTAAGGGGATACTCCCAAGAAAAAGTCCAGTCAAAAACAAATAAACATGTTACTGTAACCGCCAATAACTCTAAGGGACTATGACATGTTCAAATGTATATGATATGCAATACAGTTTTAGAAAGCTTGTTTGGATTCTACTCTATTTCTGGATTATTATGAACAGATCAAGTTGCATCAGTTAAAATTATAGAACTGTACAAATGGAACTGTGTCACCAACATATAGGCTAATTTGGATAGTTAAAAACATCAATTTCGCAGGTTTTAATGCTATAAAGTACTAGTGCCAGCAATTATATTATGAAAACACTGTAAAATATAATGCTGATTTGCAGTATAACCTTATACATTTCTACCTATGAGTAAGCCCAATGAATTCCAAGGAATTTGTTCTGTTATAGATATTTAAAATTGCATCTTCAGAGTGTACAGAATGTGGAATGTGTGTGAAAGTAACACGTGTTCCCTTCAATTTCTGTTAAAAAGCCAAATATCTTTCCACTAAGAAAAAGAGGAGAAAAGTGGACATCAAAATAAGAATCAGTTTTATTGCATGAAAAACAGTACGTTGATAAATCATTGTTTCTTTTTATTTTTACATAATGGTTCAGGTTGGCTGTTAGAAAAACCAGTATCCAATTAAACAGAAAAAACTTAGTCTGCACATTTATATGCTTTTAATTAAAAAATAATTTTGTTATACTAGAATTGTGTATAAAATATTAAGGCTGCAATCCTATATGCTCACTCACCTAAAAACGTCTTGACTAAAAGGAATAGGATTTTACTGTTATATATATTTGAATATGCAAAAGCAGTTTTTTCCAACTTATGTTAAAATCTTTTCATGACATTTACAGCCAACTTTTAGGATTACAAAAGCAACTGAGAGATTTCTGTCTTTAGCTTTTATGTAATTTGCATTATATTTTTATCTATACTGTAGTGGAACTCCATTGGTTTTTAATTCATAAATATATCTTTCATCTTTAGTTTATGTTTTGCAGTGGGTTGAATTAATATTGTGGCTTCTAGCATTTTTGTGGTGGAATATAAGAAGTGCTGCCATGTATTGTGGATTTTTGGTGCAATTATGACTTTTTACAATGTGGTTTTTGTTTGTTCGTTTGCAGTGTATAGGATTAGTACATGGAATATATCAACAACTGTTCTATTTATTGTATTTCCTGTAGATGGAGATATATACAAATGTATTTAGGGAATATATACATACTAAACTATGATGGAAGGATGAATATTTTTTCTTTTGAAATCTTTTTAAATGCAAAATAATTTTAAAAGATTTAAGAATCAGCTGACATTTCCCATATATCAAATAAAACATTAATAAAATAATGGTCCAACCTATTTGCATAATAAGAAGCATTATTATCTCTTCTGTTTTCGTTCAGAAGTGAATTAGCTTGATTACTTAGCTTGCATAGGTATGGAAGGCTTCATTAACTCTCTGATTCAGGTAATTTTTCATTTTTCTGACGATGTATTACAGAACAGAAAAATGTGCATCAATGAAATGTAGGAGAGCATTCACTCTAATTGTTTTAGTGATGCCTTAAAAGGATTCTCCAACACTTTACACTTTGAATCTCTTCTTGTATGCATGAATGTTCTAAACAATTGTCTGTAGAACTAGAATGCCAAAGGTATTTAAGAAAAACCTTGACAACCCATCTGTCAGTAATTAATAATGATAATGCCGAACCATTTTTGACTTCATTTCTAATGTAGTTGCTTATTTAGCAGTTCTACATGCTAAATGCATTCAGGACACTTGATAAAATACCACAACTAATCAAGTTCTATTGAGATTTTTGTCTGAGTAACTTAACTATTCACTTCTTTTGTGTACTTGGCAGGAACGGATGCAGGGGTCTGTGAATTGAATTGTGTAAGTGCTGAAGAAGGAGTCTTGGTTTGAGGAAACAGGAAAGAGGAAGGAAAGAGAAGAAGAAAATACAGAAGTGTAGGAACGAACGAAAGAAGAAAAACGGGGACTATGGGGAGAAAAAAGATTCAGATCACGAGGATAATGGATGAACGTAACAGGCAGGTAAGTTGAAATTTAAAAATCCAGTATCATAAGAACCTATAAAGGCTATAATTGTCACATCAGCATTACATCAATGGGACATAATAATAGATCCTAATATGTGTTTTATGTGTAGACTTTTCAAATTCTATTGAACTATTAACATACACACATAATTGTAAAACCAAATTATTCCTTGAATTCCTTATCTTGATATCTAATGCAATATTTTTATTAAAGTAAACCACACTGCATTTTATCATCCAGATAACTGGTTAGTATCTTAATTTGGATTCATCCAGTGATCAAGATAATTCATACAATTTGTACCATTTTTTAATGAACTGATTTTTGAAACTGACTTGGCTCATATTGGATAGTTATATTGTTTAATATTTATTTTGTAATGTAAAATATAAAATGGTGGCATATTGAGGATTTGCTCAAATTGTTATTTTTATTTTAAAAATTCCTTTCATGAAATCTGAGTGTTCTCATGATAAAATGTCTAGTTTTATCTGGATAATTCTGAAATGTCAGCAATACATCTTGCATCAATACAGTAACCCTATGCAGAAATTACTTCTTCTGGAAAAATTAAATTATTGTTGTTTAAAATTAAGGCTGCAATTGTTTTCTATGAAAAAATGTATAGAAACAAAGAAACAAAAATTAAAAGTCAACACATATATGCATGCAAAAAAAAAAAAAAGTTTAAAATCAGCCAATCAGAACAACAGATGTGACTCCATGCATCTTCAAATATGTTATGGATATGTGCTATATTTTGGGTTTAGATTAGGTTTTGAAAATCTGAATATGTTCCATTTAACTCATTTTAATTGATTATGCAGATCCAGAGGTTTGTGGGTAATTGTTTCTTTCCATTTGAGCCACAAACATGATTTCTAAGTATTATTATTGCTGTTTTCATAGCTAGATCAGTAATAAGACTTAATCTCATTTTACCCCTTGGAGAACCCTGTGCTGACCTTAGATTCCAATGCAACCAGGGTATCCGTAACTAGCAAGCAGCTTTCTGCTTGTATCCGTCTTGCTGATCAGTTGCATGCCTTTTATAAATATGATGCAGTGTAGGAATAATTTATAGTTCTGATTTTCAAGTGAGTCTTGTTTAAAATTTGAAAACACTGCAATTACAAGCATAACTTGACCTTTTCATGGCAGAAAATCAAGTTTCAAATAAAGGCAACAGTGATAATACTTGATAGATGCATTCAAAGTCTTCTCTCTAGATTACTTATTGTTCTGGGCAAAATCAGAAAGCAATAAATTTTGTCAGTAGCAAAGCCCCATATCTGTTTAAATTGTTTGGAATTTAAATTTAAAAATAAACTACAGGCTAGCAGCGTTAAGAATATAGACATTGATAAATTTTCCCATAAGCCTTTTACCATTATGTCAAAATAAATTTAAAAGTGGAGGAAATTTAAATGTCTACTTATTTTTTTAAAAGCAATAAAGTTTGCTTATACATCAGATCTTTTATTTTAGGTAATATTTTCAGCTGGTATATTTTTAAGAATAGGTGTTTTCTGCTTTTACTGAAAAACTTCTGTATATTCAAAATACAGATATGATTTAGTCAAGAAATATTTGAATAAAATATTATCAAAAAATCAAAAAGTCACATTTAATAAATATGAATGACCAGAAACAGGATCCAGCAACAGCTAAGTCTCAACGTTTTTAGAATAGAGTTAAGCCATTGCATTTTAAATCAGTTAAATTTAAAAGAGCTTAACATTGGCTCAATTGCAATTGCAAAATGTTCTGGAGGGTTAAAGGGCATTATATTTAATTATATTAATTATTTCTCTATCATTTCATTTATCAAAATGATTTTTCTTGTCTTATGCTTTGTTAAAATACTTGCACAGTACTTTTGGCATAACTGACAGAGGTGAAGTTTGTTGTTAAATTGGTTTTTGAAAATGCTTAGACTTACTGTGAATACTCCCTTCTAAGTTTCATAAGCAGGCAAACCTTTTATGTTCTATTAGTTTTGCTATTCATTAGAAATTTGTTTTATAATTATAATAGTGAACGGATTAAATCAAGAGTTGGAAGAAGTGAAATTATATGACTAAATTATAATTTTTTATTAGAGACTATGCATCTGAATATATTTTCTAGAGGAAATTGCAGAATAGTTTGTAAAACAGAGCTGGAGCCTTCAATAGGATCATTAGAAATCTTTGTTTCTCCAGTGGAGAATTTCTGCTAGAGCCAAGGAGTCATCTTTTAATAAAGGCAAATCTGGATCCAACTTCTCATTGTTATAAGATGCAAGAGTGCATATTAAATTCCATTTATACTATGTATCTATTTCCAAAATATTAGAAACACAATTTTAGAATAGTGTAAAACCCAATTCCTGATGAAATTGGGGGATTTAGTTAGTCCTGGCATTTTTTTTCCTCCTCATTTCCTTTCCATCTTCAGTGGGATTTTGTGGGATCTTTCTTTAGATACATAACTTTCTTGAGTTACATAGTTGTTTTATTTAATAGATGAGTGTTAAAGATTTTCACATGCTTGTGTTGGAGACTTGCTTATGTTAAGCTAAAAGTAATGAGTATGAAAGGATCAAATTATCATTGTGTTTTCAGTAACTCTTTAATTTGCATAAGAAAATACACATAGGACCTGATACTTTTAAAATTAGTATTTTGAAAATTGTTTTAAAATTAGGATTAGTTCTGTGGAAAATATAGGATGGCTTAATTTTCTTTTCAGAAACATAATTTGGTTGAATACAACTGTAATATGATTACATTGACTTTGGTAGGCAAAAAAATTAGAATTTATTCTTTCACTTTTTGGCTCCTGTTTGCCAATCTAGAAAAGGAGATACTTCTTTCTGTAACAGAAGGATTATGAATTGCAGTGCATTTAAATGTTTGGGGTTCTTTGGTGATAAAATACCAATTGAGTATTTTGCTGTTTCTGCTTTACTCCATCAAAGTACAAGTGCATCACATCACAAGGCAGCATTTCCTCAACACATGAAAATATTTCAGAGTATTTTTAAATACCTACAATTTTGATCATCCATAATTTAACATCCTCCATTCAATATTTTGTTTTAATACTTTTTCTTTCCTTAAGTTATGCATGTCAAAATTGATTTGACTAGTTTTTAAATAGAATCTGAGATTCTCAGGATTTCCAGGGTATTTCAAGAATCTTAAAATCATGTGCTCACTGAATTTTTTTTAGTCATGCTAGAAATAGCTATTGAGAGCTATTGAGAGCTATTAGTTATGGCAGCCAGTGCAAAAACAGTTATAGAGATGGTATAGAGCAGAGGTCCCCAACTCCCAGTCCGTGGACCAGTACCGGGCCACGGCATGCCAGGAACAAGGAAAGCCACATCCACAGGATGCAGGCAGCACACAAAACCACGCCCCGTCCGGTCCATGGAAAAACCTCTCTCCACGTAACTGGTCCCTGGTGCCCAAAAGGTTGGGAAGAATAATTCCAGGAGTATAAAAAGGAGTATAAAAATCAAAATGAATTAATCCCCAACTTCATGCTGTGTTTAAACATTTTCTTGCAAAATGGGTTTCCTCTATGAATGTCCATATTCCTTTTTTAAAAAAATTCTTATCATTTAATATTGTAATACAATTGTATTTGCCATTTCCCATTATAAAATGAAGTTAAATAATAGCACTTATTAATTATTAGTACAACTAAATACATTCTGAAATACACTAAGATTTACTTTCAACAGTTAAAAAACCTGCTCTTCCAACATTACCAGAGAAAGTAGAAATGTAAGAAATTAATATGTCAAAATGACAGAATCATTTGGGTTTCATAATCCTGTTGTTAGGGTCAAATGCACTCTAAGAAAACCATGCAAATAGTAAGCCATTCTTTTAAAAAAATAATGTCATTCAAAAATAGAAGTAAGTTAAAGGGAAACGTGCAAAACATGGTTTCTGGAAATCTTTGGAGCCTCTTAATAATTGTTCTTGATCATGTGACTTGAGAAGAAGGATGAGGAATAGGTTAAAATGGGAAAGTGAATAAAATTTGGAAACACTGCCCAAATTCCACTCCCATAGGAATGGGTAATTTTTTTCTTTTTGATATTCATCTTTCTTTTGCCAACTTTTTCACCTACAATGAACTTGTTTCTATTCTGCTCTGTTTTAGAGACTTAATGTGCTGATGAATAGAGAAAGTAGCAATCTGTTTACATGATTTATTTATAATATTCTGTTGGAAAGAAATATGAGCTTTGATTATTTCAGCAAACAAAATAGATCCATATAATGTAATGTAGAAAACCTACACTAACAGGATGTAATAGCAAGCAATTAAATAAATAAAAGAATCATGTGTGTTTGTGTGTACATACACATACACACTATAAAACTGTAGTTGGGCAAGCACAAAAGAGTAATATCAGTTGTGAATTATTAGTTAGAAAAAGACTCTATTTTTTTGCCATAACTCCCTTACACTTTCTAGGCACAATAATAATGTTTCAGAACTAAGTAGGGCAGACAAAGAATTTTATGTAAAATATTTTACCACTTTGATACTCGGCCACTGAATTCACTGCAAGTATTGTTTTTCTTTCTGCTTTCCTTCTTTCTTTGGGCTGCTCAAAATACCAGGGCTAAAATTTTTGTTCTGCCATCTCTGACTGTCTATAGATTGGCACTGTAGCACCCGTGGGTGCTATAATGACCACGATACCACTAGATGGCATCCATTGTCTGTATATGTTTGGGTGGGGGGCTGTGTTTGTGTTTGTAAAAAACACATATTTAAAATTGTCAAAATTCCATCCGAAGAACCAAATTCCACAAGATTTTGATTTTTTAATTCAAATTCTCTCTCTCTCTCTCTCTCTCTCTCTCTCTCTCTCTCTCTCTCTCTCTCTCTCTCTCTCTCTCTCTCTCTCTCTCTCTCTCTCTCACAGATATAGATATAATGAGCTGCATGACAACACACAAATGCTATCAATAGATAAATCTTAG